GCTAACTTCGACATAAACGCCTAGTGTAGACCAGGCCTATGTTACACACTTTTCCTATCAAGTTATCTAAGCAACATCAGTCTTAAGAAACATAATATAAGCACCATTTTTGTTTGGTGGTTTGTTATACACCCACCTTGCAGGCATCAATGACTACACAATGTGTGGAAATCAGTTCCATTGTTTCTTTTAGTTTCCAAGAGGGTAAAAACCCCAAATCATGTAGAATAGAAGCGAAATTAAAACTTCAAATAAAACTCCACAAATTAGAATACAAGCTCCCTAGGGAAAAGACCTGTCATTTGTTTTGCCTGTATGATGCCATTCGTGTGTACAGAAACGCTTGCCAAAAAAGTCCAAATTCCTTAACATTAGTTTCTCTCGGCTCATCAGGTATGGGCAGGGGTTGGGAAGTCCAAATATAAATAGGGAGGCGACAGCAGTCAAACCAGGTTTTGGTTATTTTGGTTTTGCAAGACTTCATCATTGGGGTTTTGTTTTTTGTAAAAATAAAAACAAGCGTTAAATCCAGCCCCATTTAAGTTAATGGGAGTTTTTCCATAGACTTCAATGGTGCCAGGAGTTCACCCCAGGGACCTGACACTGCTGATGGACACTGAAAATCCTGGGACTCTTGACCTGAGGCTCTACAGCAGTGTTTTCCACCCTGAGAAGTAAGTATGAAGCTAGTTCCGGGAACAACGAGTCAGTGACCAGGGCAAGCTCCTGGACTCCAAATCAGCCTCCTCTCATCCATCTGCTGATAAAAGTGGTAGGTGTCCACTTGAAAAGTTACCCACCTCCCAGCTCCCATTTTGGTCCCTAATGAGCAGGCCTGCAGACAGCAGCTCACATACCTAAACTTCTTTGCTGCTGTCTGTGTCCCCTCCAAAGGTGGCATGTCATGTATTATTAGAAAACTAATAACTCCCTGATCATTAATATTTGCATGTGATGTACATACAATAAACCCACCAAGGAATTTACAGATATGTGCTGGAAATATGTTCTGAAAATGTATTTGTCGACCAGTGCCAGTTCCAGACAAAGAAATGCGCTTGAATGAGTCTCCAGTATAAATTAAGCAAGGTGTGATCAAAGACAAAGAAAAGCACATTGCCACGCAAGTTAAACAAAGCCATCAGGAGAGCAAGTGGGGACAGATAATCACTTTATAACCTTGACAGGGGTTGGAAACTGCACCCTCAGGAAGCCTTCCTGAGGAATTGTGTGCCTCTGATTTTTGTTCAGCTGCCCTGCTTCTGGGGGGATTTTCGATACACATCATCTCCTGGCAGCCTCCACTGAAAGTCCTTAGAGATAGCCACAGTCATAGAAACAGTGCAGCTGACAGCTGTATTTCTTACTATTTAATGTGGTTTTTTTTGGGGGGGGGAGAGGTGGTTTTATAAAGTTACGGAAAAACTTGAGTGTTTTCCTTTAAATTGGGCAATAGCTAGGAGAAGAGCTTGCTTAGTGCAAACAAACTCTGAGCACATTTCCAAGCAAATATGAATAACCAGGGGTCTAGTACAGAGCCTTCAACCAAATATTGATGCCAAGTGGTGTTTAATATACTTCTGACCCTGGAGATTTTAGGTTGAACGTGGTAACACGTACAGAGAAAGTGTTGAGGATTCCAAGTGTCCTTCATGGTTCACATTAAGTTTTAATTCTGTGCAACTCGCTGACAATATAACCCCACATTTTCAACATAGGGCCAAATCCTAGGTCCTGTTCAGGCTGTTGTAAGTCCCATATAGCCAAGTAAATAGGCTCTGCAAACCACAGTGCAAATGGGCACGAAGTACAAGGCAGGAAGGAAATTTGCAAGTTAGTGCCCTTCAGCAATGTCCTCAAGCTGCTGCCAGGCTGGAAGACACACAGTTGAAACAATGCACCGGATACTCTGTTGTGTTCTGGCTCCTTTGTGCTGAATGGATGGAGCTGGTAAGCAGCCAGATGTGGCAAACTGTGAGTTCCTCTGGTGTGGGATGTGGAGCCAGCATATCTAATCCATCTCCCTGGCACAGGGATATATTTAGTTGGTGTATGATTAAGGACCATAGCAATCTGGCATAAAATGGTTGCTGTAACCTACAACAGGGCTTCAGGCAGATCTCCCAAGAACCATCTGCCTGATAGTGAGATGCTCAGTGAAGCAGAGAATCTGTCTAACTTGAAAATAAGCAAAGAAATCCCTATCTTGGCAGGTGAGGTAGGAAGGATGTACAGGGAAACATAACTGCTGGCATGTGGAGGGAGTGGGTTTATCGGCCCAGATTCCATTTGCATCTGCCAGCTCCATTTGAGAGTAGGCAGCCAGGAGATCTATGGTGAGGCAATCCACCATGTATATAAACGGTGAAAAATGAAACCGGCTTCTGTAAAGTGCTCTGAGGCCATTAGATGAGAGGTGCTAGCTCAATGCAAAATATTATAATTAGGGCTGTCAAGCGATTAAAAAAATTAATTGCAGTTAATCGCAGTTTTAATCGCACTGTTAAAGAATAGAATACCCATTTATTTAAATATTTTTGGATGTTTTCCATATTTTCAAATATATTGATTTCAATTACAACACAGAATACAAAGTGTACAGTGCTCCCTTTATATTATTTTTATTACAAATATTTGCACTGTAAAAAAGATAAATAGTATTTTTCAATTCAACTCATACGAGTACTGTAGTGCAATCTCTATCATGAAAGTTGAACTTACAAATGTAGAATTATTATTTTTACATAACTCCCTTCAGCTGAGTGAGTCCTCGACTTGGTATGCAGTGGGCCAGGGAAGGAGGGAGGGAGGGACGGGGAAGGCTGATGCAGGGAGCGTGGGCTCGCCAGGCCATTATTCTCTATGACAGCATTTTATCAAACTTTTTGTGCTGGCGACCCTGTTTGGACAAAAAAAATATATATTTTTTGACCCTCCCCACTAGAAAAAATTGTGACCCCCCTTACCTTCAACCCCCCCCCCCTCCAGGGCACAGGGCTTCCCCACTTCAGGGTGTGGGTTCTGGGCTTCAGTTGCTCTTGGGGCTCCAGCCCCTCTCGGATGCAGGGCTCCAGCTCAGCTTGGGGCTTCAGCCCCCTTCACTGCCCCCAAGCTGTGGGCTGGAGCTTCAGCCCTCCCCCGACCCTAGCTGTCACCCCCAGGCTGTGGGCTGGGGCTTCAGGCCCCCTCCTGTGGTGGATGCCTCCCTCCCCACCCAGAGGAATGTGATTAATGCTTTAATTTTGTTTTCAGTTAATCGCAGGCGTTAATTGCGATTGACAACCCTAATTATAATTTACTATAATAAAATCAGTAGTTCTGTGGACACATTTTAGGTGACAGGGAAGCATATTACCTGCTGCATGGGACCATTACAGCTGGTGCATGTTTACTCACCTCATTGTCCCGATGATTAATGTCACTTAGATGCGATTGCTGCAGCAGCACTGTTAGAAGCCTGTGGAAGCAAAGATATATTTAAAATGCTACATTCGAGGCTAAAACTGGATGAGAGGTTTAGAGAAACAGAACCCCCAATTGAAAGCAAAATTAATAGCAGTGATGGATGTGAACCAGAACCCCAGATCTGGTACGTGTTCATGTTTGAAAGCCAAACCCAGATCCAGTTCTGAAGTTTGTGGCTTACTCTATGTCTAACTAAAACCAAAACACAAACTCAACACTTGGAATCAGAGGTCACCTCTACACAAGTGCAAAAGCAGAAACAATCAGGAATAATTCCAGTGCTAGTTTCCAAAATAGTAAATGGGCATTAATATATCAGAATGTAGTGAATGCCTGAGCCATTTTTATAGCCTAGAAATCAATAGAACTATTCATTGTGATCCTGTTTTAAAGTTTTAAACAAACATAAATGCAAATTTATTACCTTCCTATTTCACTTTTGTATTCTTTGATTAACAAGCCCCTATATGCACACACACACAGAGACAGGGTTAGATTACGGGTCACAGTCTCTCTGTTGGGAGTAAGGCAATTATTATGCCATAAACCGGAGTTTATGGAGCACTACATCGGTTTACTTTTGTAGAGAAGTAGAGTATAAACACTCCCATGTTGTGGAGGGAATAGTTAGAACTATTACACGCGAGATGTTGGTTTTTCAGGTTATGGAGCCCTGAAATTGACAAGACAGCCAACAGCTGACGTAAGTAACATAGGGTACGTATACACTACCCGCTGGATCGGCGCGTAGCGATTGATCTATCGGGGATCGATTTATCGCTTATAGTGTAGACGCGATAAATCGATCCCCAATCGCTCTCCCATTGACTGCTGAACTCCAGCTCGGCAAGAGGCGGAAGCAAAGTCAACGGGGGAGCCACGGCAATCGACCCCGTGCCGTGAGGACGCGAGATAAGTTGAACTAAGATACGCAACTTCAGCTACAAGAATAGCGTAGCTGAAGTTGGCGTATCTTAGGTCGATTCCCCCCCTCCCCCAGTGTAGGCCAGGCCATAGTGTCTACACAGACACTGCGTCACCCTAACTACACCGACATAAGCCCTACGCATCTCATGGAGGTGGAGTTATTATGTTTATATAGTAGGGCACTTACATCAGCAGGACTAGGCAGTAGTGTGTACACAGACATAATCGGGTTGACATAAGCTGCCTTACATTGACCTAACTGTACAGTGTAGACCAGGCTGTAGGTGGAGCAATGTTTTATAACCTGAAAGATTTTGCCCCAGGATTTTCATAATCACCCTTCAATTACTGCAGTTAACTCTGAAAATAGTCTGAAGTCACTAGATTTGGAGGAGGCAAAATTATGTTTTAAAGAAGGGCGCTGAGCATTCATTAAAGTGTGGAGATGGCAGGGCTATCCAAACAATCTTGTCACAACCTTATATCTTGTATCAGAATCAGCCAACATAGACCCTTATGCCAGAGTAGAATCCATGTGACACTGGCAGACGGAAGGGTCTGTGCTACCAGAAGCCCATTGTCAGATTGGGACCATAATGCTCACCCAAGGCATGGTGAGTTATGTGAGAGTACTTGCTCCCCCTTCAAACAAAATACAAGAGAAAGGCTCTTCTCTCCTTTGAAATCTTTTACTCCACTTCTTAGCTGGGCAATCCTGAATTGCTTACAGTATATTTTCTGCATCACGTTGCCCTAGAATGTGTTCTATTAGTCTTAGGTTTAACAGAAGACAGGCTATGTAACTAAAGCAATAAATACATGTCCAAAATTAGAACATTAGTTATTTCATACCATTCTATAAACACCATTTGATAAATTCAAAGCCTATCATTCTTCTACAGTATTCCTGTGGTATACCTCATGCTCATCTGAAAACAGGTAAAGCTCAGGTGGATGTATGATTAACTTTAGCAGTATGGATTGCAAAAATATAGCCAACTGTGACCCTGCAGCAGCATCTCACTCCTGTCTCTTTTCTAGCCACAAACCACCCAGAGACCTTCTTCTGGTCAAACACCTTGTGCAATTCATTCACAGTCTTCTTCTCACCACCTTTATACATGGTTGCAGGTCTATATTTACAATAGCATACACACCTCCAGTCAGTCAGTTCCAGACTCAGACCCTAACAGGCCCACCAGTATCTTCCTTCCCCCTGAGCACATCCTTCTTGTGCCTTTTCTACCTCTTGGGTAATGGGCTAATTAGCCTTTGGGGCTCTTCTCGGCCCATCCCAATCTATCAATTACTAGGCACAGCTTTTCCTCTCAGGTTTACTCCATGGCAATGTAATTGGTGATCCAGTGATCAGAGAGCTGGTACAGATGCTGTCGCCCAGAGCTCTGCCACACAAACCTATAATGAAATGCAGTCCTGCCATTTATTTAGCTGTTTGTGCATTAAGCCAGAAAAAAATCATTCTGCAGTCATGGATTGCAAGCTATTAGACAGCACAACTGTTTTAAAGATGCTGCATTTGAAACTGCTTAGTGATCATTTGCAGAAGTTACAATTCTCCAAGGGGGCAAAAAAAATGATTTGCTCGGAAGTGACGTACCAACGTGGCAGAACTAGGGTATAACACCCCCAGATTCTTTTCTAACCAGATACTCTCTTCCAAAGTATTAAATCAATTAAAAATATTCTTCTGCCAATGCAACACCAGGGCCTGGACTCAGACTGGTATGATCACTAAAAAGCAAACGGGTGTTACAGCCCTTTCCTGAGGCATGCAGCCAATTGCATAGTCAGGCCATGTTATAATGGACTTAAAAGTCAGGTCATTTTGAGATTGCTGCAGGCCTGAATCTTACCTGTTCTGGGCCTTAAAGGGTGTAGATTTTTTTTTTTTTTTTTGGTTGGGAAGCAGAGGAAACATTTTTGCAGTAAACTGATATAAGTAATAAAACCCCAGACTGACAGCTCAGAAGTTTGGTATGTTAAAATAAGTCCAGGTGGAAATGGATTAGCGGGTAGAAAGAAGGAGAGGTGATCAAAAGGTGCTTGATAAATTCATCTATCACATGGCTCTGTAATTTGTTACATAGTTCCACAAATTAACACGGGATGTAATCGACGAAATTAGTGTGAGTATGTGTGTGTGTGTGTGTGTGTGTAAATATACATACAACCCCCCCCAACGCTGAAATTCTGCAACCACACAGATGAGCTGTGCTAATTTTAACTACACATGTAGCATGTGGAGAGTCAGCAGGGTCCTTTTATCCCATTTCTCACTGAAGGCTCAGCCACTCTACAAAACACGTATTGAAGTTTAAAAACTTGCCAGCCCTTGTGCCTGAAGTGTTTAAATGGACTGATTACAGCCTGTCGATTTCAGTGCGGTCTGTGTGCTGCTAACTATTCCTCCAGCGCATTGACTCATAACAATGGGCTGCCAGTTCTTAGACTCAGGTGAGGAAGCACTTCATAATTAGCCACTGCATTTTGTCTTCCTTTCAAATCTAAATAGTTGGCAGAGAGCAAAAATGAGTACAAAGGAAAATTTCACTAATGGGTATGGCACTCCAACTGTGCCTTCTGGTAACAGGGCAATCATATCCAGAACTAATTTCGTTGACTTGGGCTAATAAGACAGAAGAAAAAGAGCTGAGCAGCTGGCACACTCCTGTGTGGAGCAAAGGTCTGCTTGTTTCCATGGGGACTGTGAAAAAACTTCAGGGAACTCTGTGTGCTGCTGTTAAAGTAAATTACTGTTTCCTTTCTAATATCTGCATGTGCAGCGTTGCACAAACATAGCCTTTTCTCTTCGGAGGCTTTGTGTAATGATAATGCACTCTTGCTCTGAAACCTTCCAACTGTACCATCCAAGTGATGCATGAAAAACAATTATGAAGGTGCAAAATTAATATATACGGAGACATTATAGACTGTCACAATACTCACCTGTAACTTGAACATCAAGTTACAGCTTTGCTGCTTCAGACGTGTCAAACCGCCACTAAGTTCTATGGGTTTCTTGCAACTTACATTTTCAGCCAGCCTCTTTCAGCTACCCATAAATGATTTACTCAGGAGAGATTTTGCATGAATTTGATCAGCTTATATAAATCAGGACTTGAAAGGCTTTAAGAAGCATTCCTGTTCACAAAGGAAACTATGATACAAATAGCACATTTGCTTGTGACTTGCTTTGGAGAACTGCCCTTCAGACTTTTTGATACATCTTTAGTAACAGTTGTCAAAAATCAACTGTACTACATCTTACCTGATCCTTTAGAACTACTTTCCATAGGATGGACCAAATCTTAACAGAGTTGGTCTTTTGGACAACTTTCCTCCCATTCATAATCCCACAGGTTGCCTCCCCTCCCAATAATAAACTATTATATTCAAAACAATAATATAAATACATCATATTATAAATATATTATATATACATGTTATATAACAGAAACGTGTTCTATGACTGGGGCTCCAGGGCACTATATTAATACTAATAAATTATAATAATAATACAAATATTTATTATTTAATGCCATTAACATCATCCATATAATATTGTGGCAGCTGTAGCAATTACTTACATGAGAAAGTAACATTAGGAAAATATTTAATACATTTTTAGCTGTCTTTTAATGTAGTTGGAAACAAGGAGGAGCCAGAACCATGTGACCAGCCACCGCTCCATTAACCATGAGCAAGAACCACATTTTGGGAACCTCTGCTTTAGCATATAACCTATAACATTTAATTTATATAATATGCAGTGGACATAGAGTGCAGGGCAACTGCTTTTGTGACTCCTGTTGGGAGACCTACATTTGTAAATAATGCTGAAGCCTGAGTTAAAGAAGACGACCCTGAACACTGGCACCAAGTTAGCTAGGGAAAATACAGCATTGAACTATCATGGGAACAAATTTCCTGTGGCATTTCTAGTATAGAGGACGGCTTGATCACGTTGGTGGTGATTGTTCACTGTGGGAAATCTGGAGCTTCAGCCTCCATTCTGAGTTCCATTGCTTTTGTGAGGTTTAAATCAGATTCTTCACCCTGCCTGAACATGTTCCTGTAAAACAAGTGCAGCACAAAGAGCCCTAGACTTAGGTCTAAAGTCCCAATAGCCTCTTCATTTAAATGTATGATAATCACCAGATGAAATAGCAAATCACAAGAGTAATTGCCACAGCTAGCTTGCCTGCCTACGCTGCCTCCAATCAGTCAATCTCCATGGTCTTTTGGTGACTATGTACCGGACCAAGGAGATGTTTTACTCAAATAAGCAAACGCCCTTTTAATATGGGGGCTTACCTCACATTAGGCTCTGCGGTAGCAGCATGCAGTGGCAGTCTCCCATTTTTATCAGGTATGTTCTGCTTGGCACCATTTCGGAGCAGACTGACACAGCCTTCAAGCCACCCCTAGGAAAGAAAGTACTGAAGGTCAAAGAGGAACGGAGAAGATTTGGGGCCAGATCCTCAGCTGGTGTAATTCTGTTTACACCAGCTGAGGATGTGTCCCTTGGTTTCAGAAAAACATCCTGTTAGGGCTTCAAAGATGGTTCATGTTTGGTTCAAGTCCTGGATTGGTCCATCCATCCATTGCTGTAATTAAACTTTTTAGTTCCACTGCATTTTGGCCTTTCTTTGGCTGTGGTGGGGCTGGAGGGCTGTTTTAAGATTTGCAGTAGACATGGCACTGAAAATGTTGCTAATTGCTGTTGTACTAGAAAGTCTTATGTACGTTCCTGCATATGGATTTTAATTAAATGGGAGTCAGCCAAGAGCCTGAGCATTTGATCTCATTTTCTTTATAAGAGGTTACCACAGGTAGTAAATCGATATGAAAAGCCTGAGAATTGGAGTTATTTTAGGTTTTGCTTTCAGCAATTCCTTTTTGTTTTAGCAAGTGGCTTTTTACAGAGTTGAAATAGAAGTGTTATACTGAAAATGGCACCATCATTTATGGGGACTGGTCACTGACGGGAGTAAAATGCTGCACTGTCACCTTCAAAAACAAACCAAAACAAATGAACACTCTGGTTCTCACTGAACAAAGTATTTTGGCATGTGCTTGAGTCCAAAGGAAGTCAAACGTGCTTAAGTGCTTTTCTCAAACTGGGGCCTCTGCAGGGTCACTCCCCTGCAGCTCAAGTCATCTGCCTGCCAAGCATGAGCAGTATTTCCTGGGGAGAGATGGAATGAGGGAATTAAAGCACTCTTGTGTTGCCCACTGATCAAAGTTTTGTTGCAGGGAAGTTTGCAAACTAAACTAATTCCAGCACTCAGTTGCATTCATGCACACATGCAATCCCATTGAAGTCAATCCTCTGGGCAGACATCACACCCAGATTCTCACTAGGTCTCAGACTACATACAGCATAGAAACCACCACTCACAAATTTAAATCACATGTAGCACACTCACATAAGGCTCATGGATCTGAAATTTCCCCATGCATCCAAGTCTCTTACTCTCGTTGTCTATTTAACGCTAACCACGGGAGTATATTACAATGATTCACTCTCCCTACCCCAGGCACCTGATTAAATTGCAAAGGATCGTGAGCCTAATCCTTAGGACATCCATGGGGGTTTTAGCCTATGTAAATTTTGTGGCACTGATCACGCTATAATTTAATTAACCTTTTGGGGTGGGAAAGCAAATTGTCATCCTATCTCTGTTTAGCCTTAGAGACCATAAGGATAAGAAGTTCAGCTAAAATGGGGGAACTCTGAAGCCATGAGGCCAGCCTGAGTGACTGGAATGTTTTCCAGTCATTTATTTTTTTCAACAGATGTTTTTTCCCCCTTCAGGAAAAGAGGAAGGGAAAACACAGCATGTTACTAATCACGGGATTTTTTGAAAATATCTGGCAAAGGAAATATCTATTCTTGAAAACAACACGCATATTTAATATGTTTGAACCGATTGCCCATTCTGATATTTTAGACACATTTTCTAGCTGAAAATGTCACAGTGAAGCACTGTTCTTTGCACAGCTCTCTAGGACCACACAAGTCTTATTCTTATTCTCAGAAGAAGTCTTTATTACTTCACCCTCTTGCCCTCCCAAAGTGCTCTGTAACAGACAGAAGTCTTGGTACCATATATGTTGCAAGAGATAAACTGGTGCGTCCACAGGCATCTTGAGTATTAATATTTGCTCCCATCTTCAACAGCAATTTCACTGTATCGACTTGGCGTCCCGAAACAGCATGCATCAAGGGGGTACAACCTTGGGGGGAAATAGATACTAATTAATTAAATAGATTTTAAGTGATTATAAGTGATAGCAAACAGATCAAAGTAGATTACCATAAGAAATAAAACAAAATCGCAATCTAAGCCTAATGTACTAGTTAGGATTTGAATCACGCAGTGTCTCATCCAGTTAGATAGTACAAGCAGGTTAGCTTTTGCATATACAGGCAAGCTTCCTTCTTTCCTGCCTGGGACCAGTATTTCCCCCCCCCCCCCCCCCACCCCTCAGTTCAGTACTTTTTCTTCTAGTACTTTCAAGTGTTGTATTGTAGGGAGAGTGAGATCTAGTCATGATGATACATCTCCCTTTTATATCTTCTTCCAACTTGCTGGAAAGCTCTTTTGCTGTGACCTGGGTCAAACATTTCCCATTGTATAGGGCTATCTCTGAGAGGTTTCTATTGTACACAGTTCCTGGGGTAATCCTGGTGCTTGTGTGTATTTCCACAATAAGCCATCAACATTATTTTGCCTTTTTATTGCTATACCTGAAAGGCTGCTTGGGGTGTTCTCAACCTCACAACATGTTTCAGTAACACATACATAGCCAAACTTCATAACTTCACATACAATGATAGCATATACAATCCAATGATATATTAATGTCTCACAGATCAAGACTTTTAGAATAATACCTCACAAGGCATACTTTGTCTAAAACGTATCATAATTATATGACAATGGTGAATATGGGGGTGCCAGGGTGTCACACAGATTATCTCAGTTACATCAGTGTGTGAATCCATTTCAACCGAGTTACTCTGGAGTTGAAATGTAATGATTAGTCTACTGCAGGCAGTTAGACACCCTGACTTTATTCTTCTGCTTTAGGAGCTGGAAGATCAAAAGGCTCTCGTCTTGATTTTACTGAGATCCAGGGAACGATTTGAAGATAATACAAGGATCCCAATTTCTGAATCTAGATTTTACAACCAGTTTTCTGAAACAGACACAGATATCTGCAGGGGTTTGTGTTTTTTTTAAATGATTGGGAACCCTGCAACTTTCATGCTAATCCTGGGAAAATGCCACTGTGGTAAAAACTAGACTCTTGATTGAACACAAAATACTTCAAGGGACAAGCTTTCAAAGATCTCTGGTTCAGATTCACTTGGAAAATACATGCCTGTAAAGACAACCAAGTAACTGCATGCACTCAGATGGCACCATGTCAGGCATGGCATGAGAACCTGAATAGAAAAAAGTATGCAGCTTCAAGCATAAAACAGGTAACTAATTATACATGCAATTGCTCTTTTGGCAAGAAACTGCATATGTTACCATTTTATTAATTGTCTGTTTGTACCTGTGCCCATATTCAGCAAGCACAAATAACTGCTGGTGTCCACTTTTTAAAATTTGGCCAAATGAGTCTTTAAGATGTCCACAAATATATATAATTTGGATTTGACTAGAATAAATGATTTCTCCATCCTCCCCTGAAATTTCAGCAACTTTGCAGTATTTCTCTTCCTATGACAAACAATATAAATTCATGAGGACTTTGTGTCTCATGTCCACTGTCTGATACACGGGATATTTTTATTTATAGGTAAATAAACAAACTTGTAAGGAGGAAGAACAATATTATTTTATAGCCATCCAGGGACATCCAAAAAGCATATTCCCAATGGATATCCCAAAGAAAATACCAATTTCCCATTCTACTGCTCATAAAGGGGAAAACTAGATATAATTCTACTTACGCTGTTTCACTAATTTTTAAAGTCAATATTAAAAATGGAAAAAAGATGATAGCTCAATCACATATTGTATTGATTAACCCATTGGGAACAGTCTAAACGGTTTTACCCTCGCTGTCGCAGCATTCTAATATTGAAGGATCTTCACGAATCACTGCAGTTAGTGTGTTGACGTCGCCATTAGCAGCTGCTTGGTAAACCACAGTCAGGTCAATTTCTTCTGCCGAATCACCTAGAGACAGACACATTTGAGTAAGTATGTGGGGAAACTCTACAAATGATGAATGGTGAAAATAATCCCATTTATTTTCATGAGGCTGGGTTGACCACATAACTCATGAGAGGTCCAACCAAAAACAGATCCAGCCAATATGATGTTGCATTTGGTCATCTGAATCATGTTCTTCAATGTCAACAGCCTCCTACGAGTTCTCAGACAGAGTCACTGAGAAGTATGCACAAGCAATTTCCTGACGGGGCTAGGTTTCTGACTCAACTCATGAAAGCCATATTAATTGCACAGAATCAAGTCTGGAGTGAGAAACACTAAGTTGTAAAAAAAGAAACCCATCAATTAAGTTATGACAAATTTCTCAAAAGATTAGCAGCCACGTATGTATGTATGAATGAAATAATGTAAGTTAAGGATACAGATATTTTCAGTTTCTTTATTACCTCACCACAAAACATGAAGTGGAGACTATGCACTTGTTTCCTCTGAAGTATTCTGATCCTCCTCCAGGAAATATAAATGTTTGCAATTTCGACGTTGGTTTTAAAGGCAAATAGTGTTTAAAACAAGGAAGTGTATACTGGCTGGTGAAGATCAATGAGAACTGTATAATCCTCATTTTCTCTTTGCATTCTATAGTGCCAGGTGGTACAAAAATGCTGATTTAAAACTGAAGTAACATATTCCGACAGGTGATCCTGATGATAGTTTGCAAACTGACATGGACATTGGTCCAATTTAAAATAAGCTTCCCTGAGGGGTGAAGGTGGGGTGGCTGGTGAAGAAAGCATTGGAGCCATCTCTGCCAGAATGCATCAGTGCAGAGTTCGCCTGTACAGGGGCTATGACACTGGCGATCTCCAGCTGCTTTAAGGCCACTTTGTACCATGGCCATGCAGAGTGGTCTTAGTTTGCTGGAGAATCCAGCCAAGTACCATACAGTACTTCTGTAACTCCCAGGGATGTGAGACTTAGATGTTTGTAAAGCAACTCTGTTGCAACACTCTGCACTATTTAACGGCACTTAAAAATGAAAGAATAAAAAGTATGGATTAACATATCTTCCTTGCACAATCTAATACTGAAGAATGAAATCCTGTTTGCTCCGAAACTTTACTTTGCAAATTACCACAAGTGATGTAAAGTTACACTGGAAGCTAACCACAAGCAGGGCTTTGCACCTAATATTTTCAAATAATCAGACCATTTGTCTGTTATATCATAAGTAACCAGCTATAGTCTTCAAACACAAAAAAATTTGCTTCCAGGGTTCTCTTGATTGTGCTCCATGTATCATTTTATTCTAGCAGCTGGGTTTTTAATTCTGTTTCAGAAAGGCTGGTAAATAGAGTCTACCCTTACCAAAGTGAATGGTTGGTCATTACTTTGCCTATGCCTGCATTTGGATTTCATGCAACCGTAAGTCCTGCTTACATATTACTGCCATGCATAGATTAGAGTCCTAAAAGGGTTGTGTGCCTGGCAAGGAAAAAGTAAAAAGCAAAAAACAATCATGGGTTCACTAGAGAAATTACTTAATTTAGCCAAGTGCAATCCTTCAGAAAAAAATATTTTTTAAATTAATCATCAACATCAACTCATAGAGAAGGCAAACAAAAAGGCCTCTATGGTTACTCAGGGATAACAGCTTGGTCAGAGGAAAAGTCCAGGAGTCTCATTTCAGAGGAGGTTACACTAGTTTCATTAACAGTTACAGAAGACCAAGTGCAAAGCAGTTGCTTATTAGGAATAGTTGAGTTCTGCTTCAATTACAACGAACTTCACCAGTCAAAACGTTTTGAAAATGCAGGTGAAAGTCTCTTTTCATCTAATTTACTCCTTCATTTCTGGGAATCTTATTTGTTTTCATGTTGGGATTCTTTTGGAATTTATCTATAATTTCACTGGTGGCCCTTATTCCAAAAGGCAGCTTTGTCTCACTAGACAGAGGTTGCAGTCTCTGTGACATCTATTACTGAACCATGAGCACACTCTTCTGAGCCTTCTGTATCAGTGATGAGGAAAAATAATGTCCAAGTAAATTTCAGTAACAATGAAAACAAAGTAAAAAAATTCATGTTTTTAATACAGTATTATATAAGCTTAAAACTAAAAATACTCCTAATTCATCATACCATGATGAGATTTTCAAGTGTGTTGTAATCCAAAAGTGTATCGACATAGTTGAAAGTCACTGAATCTGTGACATTGTCACTCCACTCCCAGAAATAGTTAAAAAAAATCAGCTATCTGTACAAGAGAAAAAGTAAATGATCGATGGGCATAGTCTCTCTCTCTCTCTCTCTCTCTCTCTCTCTCTCTCTCACACACACATTCATTTTGGTGAGAATGTGGCCTATTATCTGAATAAATAAAAATTATGATTAACTCCTGTATTATTATACGTTACATTTTCAAGGTTAGGCGTGGGTGTCTAACATGGCATATTAGTATGTGCTTTATTTATATACACAAACAAGTTCTTTTCATGCCCACATAGCCAGTAGGTGCCTATCTGTCCATGTGCATGTGCAAATACCTTATTTGTGTATTCACACTGAATATTTGCAAATGAGTTGAAGGGTACATGTGCGATTGCTTGGTCCTAACTTTGAAAATCCCACCCAATATCTTCCCTCAGCCACCTGCCAAATCTACACTGCATGAGATGGCACAAACACCAGTTGGAGCCTGAAGTTGTGAAGAATATTCCCAGTTTACATACGTTGCATATATGTTGCTTATAGGGCAAATTACTAGAATACTTCCAAGGTGTGAACATGTAACTCATTTCATCAGCAAAAACAACACCATTTAAGTAACGTGCCAACGAGTCAATTTTAAATCTTTTTTTAAGGAAAGAAGTAGTTTAAGAGCAAAATTGCTTCATGATAAAGCTAAATTAAAAAGCTAAATAAGTGAGTTCCTCACTGAAAGTTATTTCACTTAACACTGACATGAATTCATCTGAGCCTTCTGTCATTTTGGTAACTTCTTCTCTTCTCCCATTATCTCTGGTATTCAGCCTGTACGCATGAGAGAGGGAGAATGAGAACAGACTGGCTAGACTATATAGTGCATGTGATATTGCCTGATTTGAGGGCTGTAAAACAGCCATTGTTCTTTCTTGAACTCAGACTCAGACTTTAAGGCGACAAGGAACCATCATGAGCCTGACCTCCTAAACATTGCACAGATCTTCACCTACCCACTCCTGTAATAGACCTATAACCTCTGGCTGTGTTACTGAAGTCCTTAGATATTGAGTTAAAGACTTAAAGTTACATAAAATCCACCATTACCCTTGTTCAAACCAGCAAGTGCTTGTGTCCCACGCTGCAGAGGAAGGGAAAAAAAATAGGGTCTCTGCCATTCTGACCTGGGGAAAATTCCTTCTCGACCCCAAATATGGTGATCAGTTGCACCATGAGCACATCAGCTAGATCCACCAACCAGACATCTGGGAAAGAATTCTCTGTAGTAATTCAGAGCCCTCCCCATCTTCAGACATTGGAGGTATTTGCTAATATTTGTGGAGGGACAATATACCATTATAGGCAACCTCATCATACCATCGCCTCCAGAAACTTATCAAGCTCAGTCTGAAAACAAGTTAGGTTTTTTGCCCCCACTACTTCCCTTGGACAGCTCCAGAAGGTTCCAGAAGGTCCCCTTGGAAGGTTCCAGAACTTCTCTTCTGATAGTTACAATCCTTTTTCTAATTTCAAGCCTAAATTTATTAATGGCCAATTTATATTCATTTGTTCTTGTGTCAACATTGGCCCTTAACTTAAAAAATTCCTCTCCCTTCTCCCCAGTGTTTATCCCATTGATGAATTTATACATCCTCTCAGTCTTCGTTTGGTTAGGCTAAATATGCCAAGTACCGTAAATCGCCTCTCATAAGGTAGATTCTCCATTCCTTTGATCAGCCTAGTAGCCCTTCTCTGCACCTGTCCCTGTTGGAATTAATCTTTCTTAAACATAGGAGACCAGAACTGCACACAGTATTCCAGATGAGATTTCACCAGTGCCTCATATAATGATAATAATACTTCTATATCTCTACTGGAAGTACCTTGCCAGATGCATCCTAGTATTGCATTAGTCTTTTTCACAGTCGCATCACATTGGCAGCTCATAGTCATCCTGTCATTGACCAATACACCCAGGTCTTTCTCCTCTGCAGTCGCTTCCAACTTATACATTCTCAGTTTATAGCAGAAATTCTTGTTGTTAGTTCCTTGTACCTGCAGGGATCAGGTGTCACTGGCCCTGTGGCAGCCTCTTCGGCCCTACTCCTATGGACCTGCTCTCTCATTCACCAGCTGGGAGTGCTGGAGCTGTCCCCAGGCAAGAGCCATTCAGCAGCATGATGGCCTCCCCAATTGCTAGGGGCTTGCCCTCCTCCTCACAGTACTAACCGGGGGTGTCTTCTCTCCCCCGCCAGGTCCTCAGCCTTCCCTGCACCTTGTGCCTGCAGGGTTCAGGTGTCAGTCACCCTGTGGCCATGCAGGGAGCCCTCTGCAGCTCCGTTGTCATGGCCCTGCTCACTCGTTCACCAGCTAGAGTATGGGCAAAAAAAGTTCAGAAGGGGATGATCTCCCTGATAGCTGGGAGCTTGTCCTCCTCCTTGCAGTCCTGACAGAGATCTTTGCTCTGCTGGGCCAGGACCGTAGCCTCCCCTCACCCTGTGCCTGGGTATCTTGGGCCCCTTGGCCATGCAGGGAGCCCCCTGCAGCCCTGCCCTAACCCTAACTCCAGCCCTATCCTCCTTAGTTTCTAGCACCTGTAAAAATAAAGATAGTTAAAAACTGAAACCAAATCTATATTAATCGTCAAAATTGAAAAACAAAAACAAAAAACAACCCCAAACCCAACCTCCCCCAAATTCTGCCAACCCTACTTATAATGTAATAAATGTTGCTAGGTAACACTTTACGTCTTCAAGTACAACACCCCTCAAAGCCTCACAACACATCTGTGAAGTAGATTATTAT